AGGCTAGCTAGATCAGTCTGCAAGTGTTGTTGTCACCTTTAACTGTAATGTAGATACAGTCACAGGTAGTTGCCATTAGTGCTCTGAACTCATATAGACACCAAAACTGGCTATTTGCCTTCTCAACGATTTGAGAAACTAAATTTTTGTGAGTAGGCTAGGTTTTATTAGAAACTATGGATCACGGCTGACCTGAAAAAGCTGAGAAGCATCGTGGGAATTACATCTATCATCTCAGTGCAAACTGCCAAACATCCAAGGCATCCTGAAGACTGCTATTTCAAAATGAAGAGATTCTAGAGATTCATTATACCACATTTTCATTGCCTAATTTAATGCTCTTATGAACTCAAGTTATACTAAAACTTAAGGGGAAGTAGTTAAGCTGGGAGAAACTTCTATTAGTCTGCCAAGATTAATAATTTTCCCTTTTTACTTTTTCTGAAAGTGATATATTACACTATAGCAATGTCTAATTCTTCTTGCAGTACAGGTATATATTTAAGGTAAACTATAACATATTATACAGACATGAATAAGCCCCACTTAAGAAATTGTTTTAAAAAGATACTTTGGTGATCCAAGCACCTGGGAAAGAACCGAGCCTACCAGAATGCTAAGACTTAAAAATGCCTTAGATTTTCTGAGATTTTTATCCTCTACTCAGTTTCAGCTCTGATGCTTTTATAAGCAATAATCAAGAGGCCATGTTGTAGACAGAGAGGGAAAAAGCTACAAAATAGAACAGCCACCTTCCTATCAACTAACCCTGAGAACACATCCCATGCAGAGTGGCACTGTTGGAAGAATTAAAACCTCCATATCACCTTTCATACATTCACATCTGCTATAATAAAGAACTATTTCCAATATATTCAGGCTTTGCTCAAGGGGTTTGCTTTTTTGTCTGCCAATAAGCAAATTCTGTCTTCGGTTTCCGCCTCAAGATTGAAGGCAAAGGCTGGAAGCTTCTGCTACAACTTCCATATGCAGAATCTCTTGTGTGGGCAGCTCCACAAGAAGCTCTTCACGGCAGACTGCAGCTCAGAAGACATTGATGGCTGTGTTTGCACAATGTAGTGACAGCAGATATAAACACCAGGCATGTTTTACATTTCATTTCAGAGCATGTGAACTATGGGCATCCAGAAGATGGGACATAAATACCAGAGAGGAAAACCCAGAGTCACTGCCTGTCACCTCACCTTTGCAACAATGGTAGCTATGAAACATGCTATCACATAAATGCAGGATTAAAATCTTTCACACCCTTTTTTTTTTTTTTTAATAGGGTAGAGGGGGACATATAGACTTAATTGCACACAAATATAAAATAAGCCAAGAAACAAGCAGTTTTTTAAATACAAATGCAAAATGCATGCTACTGGTTGCAGAGAGGACTATCTTTTTAAGAGAAACAATATGCACCATGAACTGACATCTGTGGCAGATACAGAATCAAAATAAAGATAGATGACACACAGAAACTAAGGAGTCTTTGTTGTGTGTTACTGTCAGTGGAAAGCCCAACTTGATTGTAATAAAGAAGAAGCTGTCAGCAAACTCAATGTTGATGGTGGCCTGAGGGCTGAGTAGCACCATTCAAACAATGGGTAGGACCAACATGAGAAAATAAGTGGAACCCAAAACGTGCTGTTTGATCCTATCCCATCTGTGGTTCCTCCCAGTGACATTGTTCTGCAGCCTAGCCAAAAGCCAGACCCACATTTGCAAGTGCCCTTACTCACCCAATTCCTATTGATTTCAGTGGGCATCCAGCTCCTAAATGCATTTGTCAGTGCAGCTTTACTGCCTTTGCTGTCCAACAGCAGTGAGAAGCTTTCACACTACACTGTTTCTGCCTCAATACCTTTTCAGAAGAAGGGGAAAAATACATGTGCGTCTTAGGCATGATTCATATCTGTTTTGCAAGGAGATAACCACACAGCTAGTACAAAAAGATACATCAAGAAGTATATAATTATGTATGGCTTTTAATAGTAAGTGACAGCAGTGGCTGGCTACCACTACATTACTGTAACTCTTTCAGAAACTCTGACAGCATAGTCCAATATTAAGGAAATTCCTATTCACTTCTTTCTTTCACAGATCTTTAAAAACTAGCTTTAAGGCTCTGCAATTGTGTCATGTTTAACAGCTATTTTATATATACAATATGTATTTAGGTACAGTTGTCTTGGCTGTCAAGCAGTTTGATTGCATCAGTTTATAATACTGCAATGCAATGCATTTAAGGTGACTCTCTTTAGAGTTATGTTATGTTAGCATTCTATCCCCCTTTATGACAGAACACAACTGAAGGAAAAAAAAAATTGCATATGGCAGCTATTGCCAAAATAAACACATACCACATCTTGTTCTGAAACTCTGCATGCTACTCAAGTTACTTTAGGAGCAAAAAGAGTTTTTAACAAAATCAATTCCATTTATTGCCTCCTGGGTTTTTGGGGGTTTTTTTTGCCTGGCAATGGGACACCCTTGTTGCCATTACAAAGATCTAACAGTCATTAAAAAAAAAACCAACAAAACAAAACAAAAAACCACAGCTATGCTAGAAATTATGAATGTCAAAGGAAATTGAGAATGGTAGCACATGCTGAGTCTTGTTCTCCAGCACGTTACCAGAAACACATTCCAAAAACAGGTTTTATCCTAAGAAATCCTGATTAGGGATAAATTCTTCTTGCTGTGGAAAAAGAGAGAAATGTGCAAAATGATACCCAGTATTTACAATACTTTTAATGCTCAAATGGTTCATGGACATACCACCACAGACACCACTTATTTTTGCATGCCACATTGTCATCACAGATCTTCAGCAGTGACAGCTGACTGACAGTTTATCTCCTTTTGCATAAAGGAGACATAGCTACTGGCCAGACTACACTTCTCCCACAGGAAAAAAAGCAGTCTTTCTTTCTAGAACAAGGACTTGGAAAAGTAGGACTTAAAATGTCTTCTGGTCCAGTCCTCTAGTCTAAGACAGAAATGTTAGGATTTAAACAGTATTTTGACATTTTTGAATCTGTATCTAGAATAGCCCATATCTGATGACTAGAAGATACAAGTGAAACCAAACCTCCCCCGCCCCAGAAGAGGCTTTCACTTTGCAAACTAATTATGGAAAAAAATATGAAGAGTGATACTCTAGGAGTTGCACTTGAATTACATAGTTTGACCTGTGGGAGGTTATTGTAAGCTGAATGTTGTGCCTTGAAAGTGATGCCTTTAGTATGAAAATTCCTGAACACAGGAATGCCTAGGTCCCCAGGCCTTGCCACTGGCTTACGGTAATTTGGTACACTGTAAGCAAATCATCAGAACAGTTACCAAAAATTGCCTGATAAAAAAGTACAGAAAAATACCTGCTTTATTTTCCTTATCTATTAGAAATTTTGTACCAAAGTACTGATATTATTAGGCATGTAAACTAATACATCCAGCTTCCAAGTAAGCAAGTATTCCTTTCTCATCAATAAATAATGAGAATTAATGTTGTTTAATCTATCAGGTGATAGAAGTGTCATCTAAATAACTGAATGTTTTGTGTTCCTCCTGAAAACAGTGTGATTTTAATCCTGTTTATGTATGATGCATGGAAAAAATTTGTTTCCCTTCTGAAGCTATTTATATTTTCTTATGCTTTACCAATTACTTTTATGTAACAAAAACCCCAGATTGTAAAAAAATAAAAGCTAAGCACATTTTCAGAGGTGTTCTCCTGTTTAGTCATCACATTTTGGGAACAAAATGTTGGCTCTTTGTTAAGGAAGAAATATCAGAAATACCATATGCAATGAAGTTCCCAAAATGGTTGCTGGTAGCAGCAGCAAAGTGCTTTCAGTGATGCAAAGACCAAAAGATGGGCAAAGGAAATAGCATTTTTACAAGCTGCAGCTAGCATGCACCATAAAAGCATCTTTGGTCTCTTTTTTTATGCCATTCCTTTTTTCTTCTTGATGCTCGCTCTTATTACTTTATTTTTCAGAAATTCTTTCTAGAGTTCCACTTCATCTTACTTTCAGATCAACCTAGAACTCATTGCCTACATGTTCTCAAATGACAACCATTTCGTTCTAGAAAACAGCTGAGCAAAAGGAAAAAAAAAAAAAAAGACCCAAAATCAAAACCGAGTTAACTTGCAACTATTTCAGTCTTCTTTTGCACAGAATTGGATAGCCTTATAGCTGTAGAAATAAGCAGGCATAAAGGGAAGAAACCAAACGAAGAAAGCAAACTGGGAAACACAGTTGTTTTTTTTTTTTAAAAGCAAGGTGACTCAGTTACATCCTGTGTGCTTCCCCCAAGTCCCAAATTTTTTACATATTTAAGTACTGTATGAAGAAGCATTTTTTAATTCCTTTTAAGAAATAAAGTCCCAAACTTCAAAATGACCAGTTCCCCAGGACTCCTTCCTTGTTTGCACACTTTGCTACAGATCTGCTCAGTCCTCCACTACTCTCCTCTGTCCAGCCACTGAGCCTCACTTCAGTTTTGGGGGACTTAACTCTACCTGAGCAGATATTGCCTTCACTGCCCTCTTTGCTATGATTCTGACCCTTGGATGATGCTTTTCTTTACCGATGCAATCCTCTCTCATTCTTAGCACCTCAGTGAGGATCTGCTCTTTGCTTGTTCTTTGTAGGTTAACCCAGCTACCTACTACTCCTTCTCAGTTTTTAATTTTTTTGTGCTCTTACACAGTCACAATTCATTCACACATATCGTAGTTACCCCTATGCTACAGCATTCAACTGTGCCTCTCTCTGCCTTGACAAATATGAAATGCCCCTTCTGAATACCCTTCTGAAGACTCACCCACTCGCTGGCACAACCCTACATATGTGCACTCAGGTTGGCTTCACACATTGCCTTACATGTGCTGTTTCTGAGCACATTCTTTTCCCCACACTGACTCAATTACATCTTCTTCTTCCTTTAGTACTCTTCAACTTTTACAGTACAATGATATTACTCACAAAGCTGAAGTTTCCAAGTCATGTTAGATGTGAATATCACCAAGTAAGAATGCTGAAGGTCAACGTGTTAAGAAGCTATCTTGTGGCTGCAAAAAGAAAAGGTAAAATGAAGTACACATTAGTTAGTGGCCTATGAAGTAGAATCATCAATGGTTCACCTGAAAAGACAACGTGAAAGAACATCCTGTTTGAGTTTATATTATGCTCACATTGAACAGATGCTCCACGGTGTTCTTATGATGAAATAACATTATCTAAGTAGCTGGATTAATAAAGCATTACTCAAAAATAAAATATCTGAAAGTATAATTCCTTTATATCAATCTACATTTGAAACCGGCTTTAGTATTTAAAGTCTATTCACTGAGGAACAGAATGAGGTAACATACTGTACATCAAGTTAAAGCTCATAATGTGGCAAATGCATGATAGCTTATATAGACATGAAAGATGTCTTCAAATATCTGCCAGGAGAGTAATGCTATGGCTGCATTTTTAGAAGTATACCGTCCCTAAAATAAGCATGAATTTTACAGTAGCCTAAAAAATCAGTCTACTGAAGCAGTTTCTCTGCATGAATTAAAATCATTGTAAGAGGAAAGTCAGTAAAAGAACTCATCTTACCTTGAAACAAACTACCATTTCTGCATAATGCACACACATTTTATTTAAAAACTGTTAAGGATGAGTAGTGTCAGCATCAATTTTAAATTTGTGTAGTAAAGTACTTGTATTACATGTTCGTTCTTTGTAATTTAGACTTTATTATATAAGAGGCCTGTACATTGAGTTCAACTGAGGATAAATCAAGGGCCAGACATCTCATCACAGTTAAAAGGGACTGCTCCAGCGTTGTTGAACCAGAAAGCATACCAATGGAGTCCCCACAAAACAATTAATATGTAATTATTAGTAATTTGCAGTGGTCAAGAACGAAATAGTTTTCTGATCTCTAATACTGGGGCAATGCTTACACATCAAACTCACAACAGTCTTATAAAGCATAATACCAATTCCACAACCTGATCTATTCAGGTCACTTTCACATACATGAAAGCCCCAAAAGACTTCAGCAGATTTTTGTCAAAGACCATCTGGCAGCAGGCTACACATGAATATGACATAAAACTGATACAAAGAGGATAACACTTCCCAAGGTAAAAAAAAGATAAAAGGAAACGTCGAGATAATCAGAGAAAAATAGAAAAGGAAGGAGGGATTAAATGAGGTATGTTAAAAATGAGGATGTCAAAAAGCACATGCTTGGCATTTATATTACAGAATTTTAATTCATGTGGGTTTATTTATTTATTTTACTGGAATTTCTTTGGTGTCACTTATGATGCATCTCTAAAAATTATTTGCACTTATGTCAACAATTTCGCTCTTACTCTAGGGGAAAACTAGTATCCAATTGCAAAGTCCAAGTATTCAATTGCAAAATCTCATTTCAGCCACATTCCAAGGCAAGTATCTTGACTCTGATAGGTGATTTCGAAAGACATATCACCACTTCTAATAGCAACAAATTTGCAGTAGCAAATACAACTGATCTTTTAGCATTTTCATAATCAGGATATCATTTGCAAAGACTATGCCTTCTAATCATCTAAACTAGATTTGTCCTCATTCAAATTCTAAATCCTATTCCAAACTTAATTTAAACCATGATATTTTCATTTCTTTTAAAACTAAAAATGGCAAGATCTGTAGTAAAGCACTGTCCTTGGTGGATCATTCTTACTAGCTTCCTCCCAGTACTACCAATCCATAGGATACGTTTAATCCATGGGATCTTCAGTCTCTCCCTAGGATTAATCTTCATGATTCAGGCAGAAGGAAAGTGTGACAAACATTGAACCACAGAAATCAGGTCTATAATTATCATTTTAAAAAAAGTTGGTTTTGATATGTCTTATGTTTCCAGTAATGCATTGCTGTTGCCAGAATTTTCTTTCTTATATACATATAAAGATGTTTTATCTAAACTCTTAAAAACAGTAACAGTAAGGCTTGGGAAATAATACAGAAATCAAAAGAAGGCTCATCCTTTTACATCCTGTGAGAAATGTTAAAACTTGGTACTAAAATAATAATTAAGGTGTTCCCTAAACTCTTATCTCAGAACTGTACTTTAGTATATAATTTGTATACACATACCTTAAGCAGATACACTGTCTTTTAAGGAATTTTACATTATTTTCTTCTTCCTTTTGTCCACAGAGAAAATATTAAGCACTCACTCAGAATAATCAGTTTTAATTTAATCATTAATATTACCACTTTATAAATCATTTATCCCAGTAAAAGCAATATTAAAACTTCCATTAAATGGAAAACGAAACTTTTAAAAATCAAATTTTAGTTCTAAATATGCCTAAGACTGCTAAAACTTCGTCAGTTCTCTACACTCCCACTTGACCTGTTGAGAATGAGATGGACCCAGCACCACCCCTGAAAATTCACAGGAAAATTCACACAAATAAGGAAGCCTTCAGGTAAAGCTGAAAACTGCATTTTAGGAAATCTTATGATATATATGTAGAGCTACAATGCCATCATGTAAGTCAACTAAGATTACGTGAACAGTTCTTCAGTAAAGTTACAAATCGTGCACAAGCATGGTGGAAGGATGAAATTTGTTGCATTTATTATTTAATTTAATAAGACAACAAATGAAGTAATATAGCAAAAGCAGAATAATAAAAAAAAAATAAAAAGCAGCCTTTAGATGATTGACATGGCCATAAGCTGAAGAGACATAGTCTATCTATACTAGCAACAGACAAACCAGATAACTCCTAGAACTACAATAAAATTTTCCTCTTCTTCCTGAGAAACGCTGAATTACCACAGCAGAAAACGTTTTTTCTTCCATGAAGGAATTTGAAAGAGTTGGATTTGTTCCCAAACTCAGGAAGTAGGGAACTTTAATAAAACAATGGACAGATCAGCTCTTACTGTGGTTCTCCTTTACAAGCAGTAACAATGGAAAAGGTATTAATTTACGGTATAGTTATCCTAAACACCACTCCCATCAATATTTTAACAGTTGTCATCAAAGGACCAGTAAAATCTGAGCCTCATTACACTGAAAGATGTGAAGCTGTTAACATACATCTCAACAAGAAGTTGAATTACAGAATCAACCACCCCAAGGTTTTGATTTGAAATCGCCTGCATTTATTGTCTCTCAGGACATGGTTCAGTAACCATTTAGTCAGCTGCTATCGGGAACAAGCAGTAGTTATTATAAAGTAGTAACTAACGCCTAATATACTAACTTCGAGAGAAATTCCATGAGGAAAATTTGATTTTATTCTGTATAACTGCATTTTTTGTATAAGTGCATTTTTTTAAATTTATCTTCCTAAAATCTGGGCAGTTGAAATTACTATTAAGCAATACTACATCACTGGTGAATTGCTTCTCAAGACTACCTGCATACATATATTGGACTACTTTCATACTAGTTATATGAGGGGAAAAAAACAAAATACAAAAAGAAATAAGTTTCAACAGATACTTATCAAGATGTGCAATTTAAATAATTTACAACTAAATACATGTAAATATTTAATTAATTAACATGGACTGTTCAGTAAAGAAAACCGCTCAGAGCACTGCTCAGAAAAAGAGCTAAAAGTTCCCTTCTTGACTTTTCCTAATTTGAAGTTTACTGGGTCTCAGTGACCATTCTGGTGATCTTCCTCAAATACAAATTCTGTCTCACAGGCCCTGGAAAGCTTTTCGAAGACAGTCAAAATAAAGACAATTCCTCAGTAAAACTTTCTTTACTAGGGAAAAAAAAAAGAAATTGAAGAACTTCTATCTAGCTCTAATAACATATTTTTGTTTGAATCCATCCCCTAAGTAGATACCATTTTATTGTAGCCATACACAGAAAACACATTCCACCTGTGCAGAAGCTGAGCAACAGAACCCAAAGCATATGGAAATCACCAGGCTTAAATACAGAGCCACCAGTGATTTCCTACTGCTAGCAACATGTACATTTAAATGCAAATTTTCTGTTTGCCCACAGACTGTCCTTGCACTATTTCCTATGTGCGAAAACAAAACAGGCACACATCTGTGCTTTTGACCTCAGCAGAGCCCTTAGGAATAGCTTAAATGCTACCTTCTGCTGGCCCTCTTAAAACTAGGAGGTTCAACTCTTAAATTGCAAACAGCTTCAATGCATATATTTAGTAACAGTAGAAGAACCACAGTCTGAAACAAAAGCACTGAAATAAAAGTGACAATACCAGGCCCCACTGTAATTTGGCTCCAAAGCTAGTAATACATTGATTCACCATACACCCTCTTCAAAAACAGAGCAATGATCAGCTTACATGTGTGGATGTTTTTCAAGTAGCCCATAATCAATCTTAGAGTCTTGTAAAGGGTCATAAAGATGACAGTGACTAACTATGATTACCAATTTGTGTGCTATCTATTATAAGTCTACTCCACCCATACTGACCTACAGATCTGTGATTATTTTTGAGGTATTTTCCAACCTAAGTGATTCTATGATTTTATCATCTGCTTTTTTTTTAAAGGAGCTTCCAATAAGAAATATTAAGCCTGATTAAATGCATAAGGGTCAAGAGCCAACATCTTGGAATGAAGCCTTCAGATGAAAACAGTGGAGAGGGTTCAGGGTTTTTTATTGCCTTCTCTGCCACCACACCTTGCAGTAATCACTTTTTCCATTTACCTTTGAAATTCAACCAGATATAAGAGCAAAATTTAATCACTGTTTACTTCTCATGTGGAATTACCTTCAGTAATTATCTCAAGTATTTCTTGGACTCACAGGTACACAAAATAGCTTATACTCCTACTTAGCACAGTTCCTCATAAAGCATAGCTTGGTCAAGTCTCCAGTGTTTCTGCCACAAATTACTGTTTTTCTACAGTCAAAAAAGATGGGCATTATCATACAAACTCTTCTGCTAGATTTATATAGTGTCATATCAGAAATAGGCTCAAATAGTAACTTGGCTACACAAACATAACAAAATAAACATAATAAACAAATGACGTGTTCAGTGGAATCGAGTACCAAGTCTAGCCAAGC